TGTTCCATTTGTTCCTAGATGCCACACCACCATATGCACTTCCCCAGGTAGCGTGTTTTTTATTGGGCATTCAGTGACGAGAATTTCCGATCAAATTTTTTAAATCGTGAAATCCCAACACCCCATCTTCCTTGTGAATAGATAATCTTTCCAAAGACACATAATGGATAGCTGCATTCTGAAATTCCCACCATAATCTAGCAGCATGTTGATTGATAAGCAAGGAGTAAATTGCAAAATACAGCCTTCTAACATTTTATACAATCCCACGAGCTGATAACAAAACAATTGGCCCAGGACGATGTAAATGTCTACAACCCTAACACAAATTAAAAAGAAAAGGCTTCAATCAAAGCATAGAACGTGAAATATTTGAATGGCTGATTTAGCAACTAACCTGTACGTTAGTCCTCAATTTCCAAGTTATCAACTAGGGAAACTCATCCTCAGGCAATCATAAATTAGTACCCACAAACAAAACAAAAAACTGTGCCGGAGTGAAAAGCTAACTAGAAACGGCTTAGACAACGAGGAGAAAAACTGACCAGCGGAGGTATTACCGTATCACCACCGGCAGGTGAGCTTGGCTGTTTCACGTTTCTCAGCCGCTTCAGGAAAAGCTCCGAGAAAGGCTGCCTGCGGCCGGTCAGAGAGATGCCACGGATCTCCAGCAGATTGTAAACCTCCCAATTGCGTGCGCGCAATTAGGGCCCCCCGCCCCAAAAATATTTCATTTTTAAACTAGTACAAAGCTCGTGTTAATTTTTTTCTTAAAATATAAAATTAATAAGAAAAAATAGTTTAAAATTTAAATATATTTTATAAAAATATATATTATTATATATTTAATATGACATTTTTTATTTGTGCAACTTACATGTGTTATATTATAATAATTTTTTTAACTTACAACATATAACTATATTAAACATAAATATATCAATTGAGAAATAATTTTATTTTTCTAATGAATTTTAATAAATATTATTATTTTTTATTATTAAAGATAAATATTATTTATTTATTTATTTATTTCATATATACAATATGATGTCAAATCGAAGATAATTAAAAGATGATTAAGTTGATATTATATATGTAAAAACCGATAA